TGCATCTTTTGATGAACAGAACTTTGTATGTTTGACAGAATGTAGTCAAATGTATTAATATTTATTTTTGTTTTATTTAAGAATTTCTTCCCTACTCCAAGATTAGGTAGGTAGTATTCTATATATCTTCTCAAAGCATTGCTTTTCTTTCCTACAACCTAATATATCTAAAACTGCCTTTGGGAATTGTTTGACTTAGGGATTCAGTCTCATTTGTTTGGGGTTCCGTACGGTTGAGCAATTTGCCCAAGTACCATTCTTTGATTTTCTTCCTCCTTTCCCCTACAGATCTGCAAAGCTACTTCTATCATATATCAAATATTATGTATGCATGGTATTCCTGGGCCGTCTGTTTTGCTCCGTTGCTAGATCGTCAATCCTTGTCCCAATATCACACCATTTTCTTTTCCATTGCTTTACAATGTCTTTTTTTTTGCGGTACGCGGGCCTCTCACTGTTGTGGCCTCTCCTGTTGCGGAGCACAGGCTCTGGACGCGCAGGCTCAGCAGCCACAGCTCACGGGCCTAGCCGCTCCGCGGCATGTGGGATCTTCCCGGACCGGGGCACGAACCCGTGTCCCCTGAATCAGCAGGCGGATTCTCAACCACTGCGCCACCAGGGAAGCCCTCATTGTAGTTTTGATTTGCATTTCTCTAATGATTAATAATGTTGAGCATTCTTTCATGTGAAACACTGCTTTTCATTAGAAGGTCAGGAAGGGGGCGTGCATAGCATTGTTCCAGGAAGGATGGTAACATCTCACCAGTGTTTTTGTTTGTTTGTTTGTTTGTTTTCCGCCCGTCCCTGCACTGAATATGCACCCCTGGCACAAGCATTTACCAATCAGTCAGGAGATATTTCTCTGGTTACCCATGCTGTCTGGTTTGTCTGGACAGCACTACTTATTTGAACTGAAAAGGGCTGCTGCTTCACATTTGCTTTCTAAAAGTCTCTTGCAAAATGTCTCTTCTGGCCCACGCTAACCCGGATCCATGCAGGGAAGGAAGTTCTTGGAAATATAGTTCCAGCTTAGCTAAGTCAACACAAGTCCAAAGATTATGTTCACCTTTTTGTTTATCATTTGTTCTTGCATCTCAGACTATCCCTCTAGGGCCATTTTCCTTCTTCTCGAAGCATGTACTTTAACGATACTTTTAGTTCAGGTATCTTTTCTTTTTTTTATTGAAGTATAGTTGAGTTACAATGTTGTGTTAACTTCTGACGTACAGCGTAGTTCAGGTATCTCGATGGCAGATTCTCAGTTTGTATCCACACTTGACTTCATTTCACCTTCATTACTGAAAGAGAGTTTTACTGAGCATAGAATTCTAGTTTGAAAGTTATTTTGTCTCAAAAATCTGAAGATACAATTATATCGGCTTTGGCTTCCATTGATGCTGTTGAAAAGTCCACTTCTCATTCTAATTGTTGTTATTTTGTAGCGATCGCCACTTTCTCTGACTGCTTTTAAGATCTTCCCTTGCACTTCCATGTTCTGTAGTTTTGAAATATTGCAGCCAGTTGTGACCACTTTTAATTTATCCAGCTTATCCAGACATGCTTCATGTATCCATAAGTTTAAGTTTTTCATCAGTTTTGAAACAGTGCCTCTGCCGTCTATTTAAATGTTGCCTCTTTGCCATTCTCTGTATTTTCTCTTTCTGAGATTCTGATTTTTTTAAAAACTCTCATTCTATTTTTCCTATCTCAACTCCATTTTCATACTCTCCAACTACTTGTCTCTCTGTGTTATATTCTGGGTAATTTCTGATTTTATCTTTCAATTCACTAATTTTCTCATCACCTGTGTGTAATATATAATACTATCCAACTCATCCATTGGGTTTTCTGTCTCAAGAGATGAAAACACACACATACTCCTGTACATAGGTATATGTACAAGTTCCATATAGATGCCATCTTTCTTTTGCAAATCTGCCTGGTCATTCACTTTAGCTCATTCATTTTTATGATTTAATCCTTCATTTCTTTAAACATTTTAGTCACGCAGTTCAATAATCTGTAGACCCTGAGGGTCTAAAGCTATTATTTATTGTCACTGCCTATTGTCACTCACAGAGTCAGTGACCTTTGACTAGGAGCTTTTTGCTTCATCTTTTTTTTTTTAAAATAAATTTATTTATTTATTTTTTTGGCTGTATTGGGCCTTCGTTGCTGCACACAGGTTTTCCCTAGTTGCAGCGAGCAGAGGCTACTCTTCGTTGCGGTGTGCGGGCTTCTCATTGCGGTGGATTCTCTTGTTGCAGAACACAGGCTCTAGGCACTCGGGCTTCAGTAGTTGTGGCACACTGACCTAGTAGTTGTGGCTCGTGGGGTCTAGAGCACAGGCTCAGTAGTTGTGGCGCACGGGCTTAGTTGTTCCGCGGCATGTGGGATCTTCCCTGACCAGAGTTTGAACCCATGTCCCCTGCACTGGCAGGCGGATTCTTAATCACTGCGCCACCAGGGAAGTCCCCATCTTTTTTAAAAAATTATTATTTACTTATATATTTATTTATTTTGGCCGTGCCAGGTCTTAATTGCAGCACGCAGGATCTTTAGTCGTGGTGCGCGGAATCCTCTGTAGTTGTGGTGCGGGGAATTCTTAGTTGCGGTATGCAGACTCTTAGTTGCGGCACACATGCAGGATCTAGTTCCCTGACCAGGGATCGAACCCGGGCCCCCTGCATTGGGAGCATGGAGTCTTACCCATTGGACCACTAGGGAAGTCCCCTTTTTGCTTCATGTTAATCTGAGTGACTCCTGTTAGCCTCAACTGGGGACACTTTACTCCAGAGGGGACTTTCTTCTGCTTCTGCTTGGAGACGGGGACACCACTCTCTCAGGGTCACTTCAGCCCTTATCCCCAGACTTTGACCAACCCCAAAGCCCCTGGTCCAGGCTCCCCATGTCACGGCCTCCCCTGGGGCTCAGCGTTCTAACAGCAGCACTGCCTTTGCATATTCCGGAACAACATCCCAGATGCTATGGGTTCTGGCCCCAGCTCTCATCATGGGATTTTTTTTCAGTGGGGGTGGGTGGTGGGGTGGGAGGGTCATTGGAGAGCCCCGCTACTTCTTATCGGGCTCATGATTCTTTGAAGAGTGTGTGCTATCTAGGGTCTCGATGCTTTGCAGCAGCAGGGTCCCTCAGCGAGTCTGGTCAGGCAACATGTTAGAAGTCAAACAATTGAATTTGCCAGTACATAGTTTGCATGGTCTGTTTAATGATTCTTTTTTTTTTTCCCCGGTACGCAAACCTCTCACTGTTGTGGCCTCTCCCATTGCGGAGCACAGGCTCCGGACGCGCAGGCTCAGCGGCCATGGCTCACGGGCCCAGCCGCTCCGCGGCATATGGGATCTTCCCGGAGCGGGGCACGAACCCGTGTCCCCTGCATCGGCAGACGGACTCTCAACCACTGCGCCACCAGGGAAACCCTGATTCTTAAACAGATGTTTCTAGTGCATTCTTACGGTTGAATTGTACTCCCCCAAAAGATAAGAACCCCCAGTGACTCAGAATGTGACCTTACATGGAGATAGGGCCTGGACAGAGGTTATTAAGTCAAAATAAAACGATCAGGGTAGGCTGTAATCCAATATGACTGGTGTCCTTATAAAAAGGGGAAATTTGGACACCGAGACAGACACTCACAGAGGGAAGGAAAACGCGAAGACGCACATGAAGATGGAGGACTAGAGTGAGGTGTGTACACGCTAAGGGACGGCACAGGATGCCGGAAAAGTACCAGCAGCTAAGAAGAGGCAGAGAAGGATTTCCCAGCAGGCTTCATGGGAAGCGTGGCCCTGCAGACACCTTGATTTCAGTCTTCTAGCCTCTAGAACTGTGAGACAATAAATTTCTGTTGTGAAAGCCCTCAGTTTGTGCTTATTTATTTATTTTTTTTTAAATTTTATTTTTGGCCTCGCTGGGCGGCATGTGGTGTCTTAGTTCCCTGACCAGGGATCAAACCTGTGTCCCCTGCAGTGGAAGCGTGGAGTCTCAACCACTGGACTGCCAGGGACATCCCTGTGGTACTTTGTTATGGCGGCCCCAGCACACAGATGTAGGGGGCCGTGATGGCCTGGAATAGCGCTTCCACAACACAGGGCTGTGGGGATGAGAGGCACTGGCCGCCTGCCCTTTCTGGGGCTGAAATGGCAAAAGGTGGGGAGCTGAGGGGAGAGGGGTCCCCCATCTTCTTGGCTGCATTCACTCAGGATAGCGCATCTGGAGCAGAGTTTCCATCACATGGGGCAGGGGATGGGGAAGGGAGGGGAGCACATTGAGGCTCAAACGCCACAGACTCATTGTTCTTACTGAGATCTAATAGGCTTTTCTAGAATAAATGCTTCTCCACTTCCTGTATGCCCTCAGAACAATATCCAGAAACTTTCAATGGTTGGTTTTTAGTATCTTTCATCAGTGAAGTGGTTGTGTCACTGGGGAGGGGCGTCCGCCAAGCTCCTCCTGCCGCCCTTCTGGAGGTGAGCTATTGCCATTTTAGCTGCTTATGAGAGAAAAAGCTTCAGCTCGCAGAGGAAGGTCCCGTCATTCTGCTTCCTCTTCCTCCCCAGTGGGGCCAGAGTCTTCCCTCCGCTCACCCCCTACTTACAATGGAGACCACCAACACCACGACCCAGCTCTCTGCCCCTCTGCAGAGCAGCAGCAATCAGGCAGAGGAAGCCCTCGACCCTGGTCATGCAGAGGGCTTGGTGTTGGCCTGACCCAGAGGGCTCCCGGGGGAGTATGACTTCCATCCGTGAGGCAGGCGGCCACTCCTGGGAAAGGGTGTAAAAGGGAGTGACCAGAAGGGACATGAGTGTCGCTGGGTTTCACCACACATGGGGACAGGGCGAGGGAACAGGGCAGCTGGATTAGCGGCCCAAAGCCAGGGCCCCCTTCCGTATATAAATGACCCCTCAGTGATGCTCATTAATGGGTATTTTCCTCTCTCTCCTCTCTCTCTTCAAAAGACACTACCTTCCTCAGTCCAGCACTTTGAGATGAAATGGTTTATTTAACTCAGAGACCAAATGTAGAGATGGTATAAGCCAAGGCCAGTAGGTCCATCTGGTGCAGAACCAGGAAGTGTGTCCCGTGCTCCCAGCCTTTCTTGGTCCTAATCTTCTCCGAGGGCTCTTTGCTAGGTGTCCCCTCACTGCCCCAGGGATGCCGCTGGCTCAGGGGGCCGTGTTGTAGACCTTGTAGTTGTCCTCCTGGGTGATATGCAGCTTCCAGGGGAAGAGGTGCTTCTGGGAGGGGAGACCTTGGGTCCACTTCACCATGAGCCTCACATCCTCGTCTGATAGCAGCCGAACCAGATCCCCCTCGGCATCCTGATAATTGAGGGCGATGTCCTCCTTCTGGAACTCCCGCCTGGGTGGGAGAGATCAGGGTTCAGGAAAGGTCCAGTGGCCTTAGGCCTAAGCGTGGGGGCAGGGAGAGGGGACAGAGGGAGTTTTAGGGCCGGGATCTAAAAATCAGAAGAGGTCAGAGCTGGACACCAGCCCTGTCATCCGAGTGGTCCAACCTCCTACTATACAGATGGGGAAACTGAGACCTCCAGGGGACAACGGGACTTTCACAACAAATTAATGGTGCAGCTTGAAATGTCTTGTGCATAAATGGGCTGAAGACTTAAGAACTGTCATAGGGAAGAAGAGTGGGTGTTGCCGGGCTCAGAGTAGAGCAGAAAAAAGCCCCTGCGACAGCCCCTGTGTGTGGCTATGGAGAAGAACCTTTTAAGGATTGGAACCGTCCCACCTGGGGTGCAGGTAGATGGGCGAAAAGCCATCCAATTTTCCATAGGTAATCTGACAAAATGGGTCAGAAGTCTCATCAGACTTGCAAACACCTTGATCCCCAAATCTCACTTCTAGAAAGTCGTCCTAAGGAAATAATCAGGCCAGTCACCAAATATGTGAATCCCAGCACTATTCACAATAGTAAAAAAGTGGAAGATAACTTAAATGGCCAACAGAAGGGGATGGCTACATTAGTTACGGTGCATCCACAGAATGATGCTGTGTAGCCAATTAAATAATATTTAAGGGGGAGTGGGGTGCAGGTGGGGTGTGTGCTGAAGAAATCTGAATGTGTATCAGATAATGAGAGGAGCAAAATATGAGGGGATTTCACCGCTTTATGTTTTCTGTGATTTCTGACATTCTTTTTAAAAAATAATGAATAGATATCGCTTTTGCAGTCAGGAATATAACGATGCTATTTCCATTCTGTAAAATAACTGTTCATAACTCAACTGGATCTTGGGAGGTGGTGGTTCCCTGAGGGCGGAGGGTCCAAGTCCAAGGTTTTGAACCTAGAGAGACTTTAGCAAATCCAGGCCCACAAACTGTAAGCCCCTTTACCTCTCTGCAGCCCCCCACTCATCTCTAATGTGGAGAGGCGATACCCGCCCCTCAGGGCTGGGCTGTGGCTAAAACAAGAAGGTGAAATAGATGCAAAACGCCCAGCCCCTGAATGCACTGTTTCCCCTTCTGTTCTCTCCTCCAGGGTGTCTGACGCCCCCAGCGCCTCCCACCCCAGCCCCTCACCTCATGAGCTCCAGCAAGTCCTTGAAGAGTGGGGTGCTTTTGAGGTCTTCCTCCACTGCAATGTCCCTAAGGGGACAAGGGGCAGGGGTGAGGAGGCAGCAGGCTGGAAGGGGGAGAGGCGGAGGAGGCTGGCCAGGTCATGCTGGATCTTGACACCCCGTGACAGCCTTTTGGCTTATCTGGAGGGCGCTGGGAGCCCCTGCGGGCTTTTAAGTGTGTGTGTTTGGTGGGGGGACATGCGATCTGGTTTGGGTCTTAGAGCCCAGAGTGTGATATGGAGGTGGGGGAGGGGTGGGGAGGGGCAGGGAGGCTGGACAGGCCCCTCCCTCCCAGCAGGCCACTAACTTGATGGTGCTGATGGTGTCCTCATAGTAGTAGCAGCGTAGCCAGTTGGTGGGGTCCTCCTCCTCCGGGAAGTCCTTGAGGATCTTCACAAAGGACACCGGGAAGATGCCTGTGGTTCCCCGGACAGTGCCCTGCGGGGGTGGGAGGGGGAGTAGGCACTGCCCTGCCTGATATCAGCAGAGGCAGCGGGGCCATGCCCCGGGGACCGGCCCCTTTATAATGACAGGACAGGCGGGTGAGCTCTGGGTCCCCTCAGGCAGAGGGAGGAGAAAAAGTGGGCAAGGTCACCAAACTGTTCACCCCAAGGCGTCCATTTTAGAACAAGTTAAGACCTGAATTTATCTGGAAAGCTGCTTTCACCTCATTCATTTATTTACTCAGTCATTCATTCAAAGGCTTCTTGAGTGCCAGCTACGGAGCAGGCTCTGGGCACTCAGAAGGGATGAAAATCCCTGCCCTCCCTCCTGGAGCTTCCAGTGTGATGGAGGGCGACAGACAATGCACAGGTAAACAGGTGGACCTCACGGGGACTCAGGTGGTGGTAGGCGCTCAGGAAGAAAATTGTGGGGGGAGGGAGGAGGGAGGGGTGGGGCCAATTCACTCATTTGTCCACGGATTCCATCTGCTCTAGACCAGACAGCCAGAAATCTCCCTCCAGCCAGGCCTCTCTCCTAAACTCCATCCAAGACCCAGCCACTGCCTGTGCTTTGTCACCTGTTCTCTTAATCTTTGTAATACTATGGAAGACATATTGTTTCCCCCCCCCCTTTTACAGACATATAAACTGAGGCTGAAGTACTACCCTCACTCCTCCCCAACCCTCCCTTCCATCTGAGGCCAGAAGTCGGCCAGCATACTGACTCATAGAACTTTCTAGAAAACAAGAAGTCAACAAACATTTCCTGTTTCTGGAGAATGACCCAGCAATACCCCTCAGCTGTAACAGCTTGTAGACTGCCTGAGACAGAACTCCGGGACTGGCGTAAAATCAAAACCGCCAAGTTGCGAGACCAACGGTTGGTCCACACTCCTCTCCAGCCCCTGGATGCCAGGGACCCTCCCCTTCCCTCAATGATTCCAGGACCCCCGGGGGCTGGCCCTGCCTCCTGTGCCATGACCTCCTTCACACCCCACTCCTCAGGAGCCCCGAGAAAAGAGAGTCTTTCATAACTATAGGACTTAATCCAAAAAGCTGGCACCAGGCCAAGGCCTCCCACCCGGTGACCCCCATCCCCCATCTCCAGTCATGCTATGAACCCTTGTATGGATCACGCTTGCCGCGTGCAGGGACAAAGCATGGCCAAGATGCCACACACCCAGGCTCCCTATGGGACGAGCCCTGAACAGCGGCGCCTCCTTCAACCCTTCCCGGAAACCTGTGAAGAAACGGCCACTGTTAGTTATCTCCATTTATGGGAAAGGAAACCACGGGGTTGAGTAAGTTTCCCAAAGTTGCAAAGCTAGTTAAAAACAGAGCTAGGATGTCACGCCAGACTCTGGAGCTCAAGTCTCCCTCATCACCTTCATTCGCTCCCTGCGTAGTGAGTAACGTTACCCCAGATTACGGACAGTGCGTCTCAACTGGGTGTGATTCTGCCCCCCAGGGCCAGAGGTCTGGGGACACATTTGATTGTTGCAGCTGGAGGGGTGCTACTGGCATCTAGTGGATGGAGGCCAAGGACGCCGCTAAACACCCCGAAGTGCACAGGTCAGCCCCCCAACAGAGAACTGCCTGGCCCCAAATGCCAATAGTGAACAGGCTGAGATACCCTGTTATAGACCAAGAAATTCAACTCAGAAGGTTAACTGACTTGCCTAAAGCGACCGTTGGTTGGGGTCAGTACCAAAGGCAAGTGTAGGCTCAGAATCTGCTGCTCCAGACACACACAGCTGTATTTCCTCAGGCTTCCCCGATCCACCTGCCCAGATCTCCAGGACTATCTTTGGACAGCATCTCTTCCCTGGGGCCTTCTCAGATACCTCCATGTTCTCTGATCCCCTCACAGACTTGAAGTGACTTCACCTCCAACTTAACTTCCACCTCACCTCCATCCTCACCTCCAACCTCACCTCCATCCTCACCTCCATCCTCACCTCCATCCTCACCTCCAACCTCACCTCAATCCTCACCTCCATCCTCACCTCCATCCTCACCTCCATCCTCACCTCCATCCTCACCTCCAACCTCACCTCAATCCTCACCTCCA